CCTCTGATATAGAGGCAGCGGAGGAGGGGGAGGTTACATGTAACTATGAAGGAGTAGCCTCCATATCTCCGCTCTCGCGCTGCTGTCTCCCAAAGAAGCACCAGGGATGGGGAGGCAGGAGCTGGTACTCCCCGCGAGCTGCCTGCCCCCTCCCACTCGTGCTGCTGCTTCTGCTAGAGAGGCAGCAGTGTGCACACCCATTTTATTGTCATGGGTGGCTGGCTGGTGGAACATGGAAAGATCTGCGTTGAGCAGGGTGGGCTGTGGGTCAAAAAGTTTGAGAACCATTGAGCTATACAAAGATAACTTCTAATTAGTCTGTATTACTCATTTAAACCTTTCTTGACTCTCTAGCTGCTCCTCCAACATCTCTTCTTATCAGCTGCTCCAAAATTATTTCCATTGATGGATCCAAAGTCTGTCTTTTCTATGTCATCTGTTTTTCTTTCCCTGTGGTCCTGTGCTAGTCTTACCTCACTTGATTACTAAAAAACATCTGTCTGACATCCCTGCATCTCCCCTCTTCCTGTTTCATCATTCGTCATCTGCCTCTCCCACTGGTCTGACCAGCTCACTCTCCTCTTGGAATTTCCTCATTGACTTTTTGTCTCTTATCACATCAGTGTCAGCCCATTCCAGCTCGCCTACATGCTATGTAATACTTGCTTCACCTTTGTGTCTGCTCCATTTCATTCTCCTTTCTACTTCTTTGCTATATTCATCTTATACTCTTCCCTTTGTAGCCTCTTCCCTATTCTTCATACCATGCTGTCCCCCTACTTTTGGGTTCTAGTTTTATTTGCATAACAAGTGCCACATATTTATTAAATCTTAACTAACACATTTCTTTGCCTTGTTCTTGAGTTGCTAGTTCCCAGTGGTTCCCAACCTGTGGTCTGCAAACCCGTGGTGGTCCGTGACAGTACTGTAGGAGTCCCCAGAAAGTTTAAAAGTAAGGATTGGGCCCACCTCAGGACTGGGACTTTCCACCTAGTGATTCTCGCCCAGGGCTCGCTTTTTGCGACCATCTGTCCTGCACTGCCGTTTACGCTCCAGCCCTCTCCCTGCTCCCAGTCCCGCGGTGGGCCCCCCAGTGGTTCCCAACCTGTGGTCTGCAAACCCGTGGTGGTCCGTGACAGTACTGTAGGAGTCCCCAGAAAGTTTAAAAGTAAGGATTGGGCCCACCTCAGGACTGGGACTTTCCACCTAGTGATTCTCGCCCAGGGCTCGCTTTTTGCGACCATCTGTCCTGCACTGCCGTTTACGCTCCAGCCCTCTCCCTGCTCCCAGTCCCGCGGTGGGCCCGATCCTTACTTTTCTTTTTCTTTTTTCTCCCCCAGTGCTCCATGCCCACCCAAGGGCAGAGTGCCAGGGCAGGAGCTGCCTTTGGCCACGAGAGCCCCTTTGCCGTATCCTCCGTGGATGGGCAGAGGACAGAGGGGGTGGGAGCTGAGGAAGCAGCGTGGGCCAAAGGACATGCTGGCCGCCGCCTCCCATCACTCCCCTTGACCCAGAATGGCAAAAGGTAGGGACCGGGAGCTGACAGGCTCTAAGTCTGCAAATGCTCCATGTGGATAAAAAGTCCCAGCACGTCAGCACTTTGCCCTGCTGGGCTGACAAGTGACCCTGGAAGTGTTGCGGACTCAGACTGGATATTTGTTTGCTTGCAGAGTCTGAGTTTGTTTGATTGCAGGCACAGAGCCTCTCAGCTCCCATTGGCTGTGAACAGCAAAAGCAGCCAATGGGAACTGAGAAGCTCCAGGCCCTGCAATCTGCCCGGCCCTCAGCCCAGGCTGAAGCAGACAAGCTGCGACTGTAGTCTGAAGTCGGCTTACATTCGAGTCAGTCACTTTTTACCATTTTTTCTTTTTTTGAAATGATCACGTTACGTGGCTACATCAATCTGCTCTAACCGTTCAAAAGCTATTAGAGTGACGGGAAGGATTTAGTTGGGCCTCTAGCAAAAATGGATCAGTGGATCCAATACCATTTTATTCAATAAAAATATATGGCACCTCAAAGTTATTACATTTCAATGTGGACAGCCTGTATTATCTCTTAATACTACTATATTTGTTTAGATAACATGAACTATTATATATTTCAAATGATTATCAAGTAATGGAATGTTTGAAAACAATTATATTGTTTTGGGGGGGGCTATAAAATTTTAATAGATTCAAAAGGGGTCCGTATGCATGAAAAGGTTGGGAACCACTGCCTTACAGCAAAGTTTGTGAGGAATTTCTAGCATCAGAGAGAGCACGCACACCAGAGCAGTGAGCACGATCTGAATATGAGAAAATAAATGGACTTATGCCCTCTTTAGTTTCTTCAGTGTATAAAGAAGGTTTTTGCTTAGAGGCTGTTTTAAGTCCCTACCCCACCCAAAAAAATTACAAATATCATCATTTTTTCCTGTTTTTTGCTGAAAGTCATCTTGAATAACTCAGGATTGTATATGCAGAGCTCTCAGCTGTTAATTGAATGAATGTAATTCGAAATCTAGGGTAGAAAGTCACATTTCTAGTTTGTGTGTGTGGAGGGGCCTTTCATAACTTGTTAATAAAGAATCAACAGAAAGGCACAACCCCAGTGTTCTTCCTTGCTTGCTGTCTTTAAGTCCCTGTTTGCACAATGGAAATGATTCTGGAATTTATGGGGAAGATAAGAAAAAAGCATAATACTGGAGGTTAGTCTATTAAAGGACAAATTCCAGGGCTATCATTACGTTGTTAATCTGAATCTATATTCTGGCTCACAACAGTGACCTTGAAACAATGTATTGCATGGTTCCTTGCTTCTGATGGATTTATAAATGGTTTTAATCTGTTGACACTGTATGGAATTATTTGGCATATGTACTGTGAAAAATTCAATATAGAGAACAAATGTATTACCATTTAATTTGTAACCCTTGTGCCAGCTGGAGTCAGCAGCAAGTAGGGCCAGATTCAATATATAGGGGGTTTTATTCAACATATAACACAGAACCAGCTCAAGCACACACCCAGTAATGTGGCACAATTACGCACCACCTTTTGGGTATCTCCAAGAGGCAGTACTTCACCTCTCAAGGACACACAGTCTGAATGTAGACTATAAACTTATAATAAAAAGGGGGAAAAGTAACCTGGCATTAACTTAGTAAAATGCTGCAAGCAGCATTCATAAGCATAAAACTGAGAGCAAAATACCACCCCAGAGTATTTTGAACAGTGTCCTTTGCCTTAGGTTTTTAGTCCAATCCAAATGTTCCTTTAATGTGCTTCTGTCTCCACTGTCTCAGAGTTGTTGTCCATGGTCAGTAAAGACACAGAGGTCAGGGGTACATCTGTGTGAGTTCACCCCCCAACCTGGTGGGTGAGGCACCTTACTCACTCTGGCATCAGCTACCCTGCCAGCTGCCCAACACACCACATACTCTGGAATATCTTATGGTCCCACCATATAATACAGATGTCGGTGATTTCATCTGTCAGTGAGGAAGCCTCGTTGCCAGTGCAGACTGTATCAGAGATGCTGCCCAAACAAATCTAATAACCAAGTCTAAGCATTAGTGACTTCAGGTCTATTGATCTGCACCAAAAGATTCAATTGAGTCTCAATCCACTCTGTTATAGGGATGTTAAAATTAGATTACTCAACTAATCTAATAGTCGATGGAACTTCCATTGACTATTCAATTAGTCGATAAGGGGGCTTCCACTTTAAAATATAGCAAGAGCCCGCCCGGATATTGCTACATTTCAAAGGCGGAAATGTCACATGGCGTTCCGCCTTTGAAATGTACAGCAGCCCCGGCAGGGACTCTTGTGCATTTCAAAGACTGAAACGCGGCATGGAGCCTGGGGCCAATGGGGGACTTCCCCTTTGAAGTCTACAAGAGCCCTACTGGAGCCCGGAGTCAGCAGGTGACTCCCCACTGGCCCTGGGGTCCATGCGCCATTTCAGTCTTTGAAATGCACAAGAGTCTCTGCTGGGGCTGCTGTACATTTCAAAGGTGCTCCCCCAATACCTCCTTCCCCCCCCTTGTTGACTCTTTCTGATAGAGGCAGCGGGGGGCAAGGAAGCGACTAGTTGACTAGTGTGTCGACTATTCAATAAGCTTTTGCTTATTGGATAGTTGACTTGTCTATTAGTCGCTTACATCCCTGCTCTGTTACTGCACAGTGGAAGTAGGAAGGGTCATATAGTGTCTAGGGGTGTGTCTAGAATACACTTCTCTGTCGACAGAGAAATGTAGATGAGGCACGTTGAAATTACTAATGAAGCAGGGATTTAAATATCCCACACTTCATTAGCATAAACATGGCTGTCCCTTTTTTCCGAAATGGAGCTTTTTTAAAAAAAAAAAAAAAAAGCGGCAGTCAAGACATGGATCTGTTGAAAAATAAAGCCTTTTTCTAAAGATCCCTTATCTCTCATAAAATGAGGTTTACAGGATCTTTCGAAAAAGGCTTTATTTTTTGACAGATCCACGTTTAGACCTCCCTTTTTTTTTTTTGAAAAAGCTTTGTTTTGAAAAAGAGCGGTGGCCATGTTTATGCTAATGAAGTGCAGGATATTTAAATCCCCACTTTGTTAGCATTTTCGACGTGCCTAAATCTACCTCTCTGTTGACAGAGAGGTGAAGTCTAGACACACCCTAGGATTCTTAGGTAGAGCCCATATCCTCAGATACAAATACCTGTTCCCACCCTTTCTCAACTCCACTGTTCTTTGGAACCTTTGTTGCCTGTCTAATGAGTGCAGTTTCAATGAAAGTAAATCCCTCAATGAGGGTATGCCAAGCACAGATCTGCTGCCTCTTGATACACACAATAAAGACAATCACCTTTTATTAGAGGAGTTTTACAAAGTTAAAAAGCCTTGTGGATGGGAGGAAGTGGTAGATAAGATATATCTTGTTGTTACTAAGGCTTTTGGTAGTGTCTTGCATGACCTTCTTGTAAACAAACTAGGGAAATACAAGCTAGATGGCGCTTGTATAAGCTATACTATAAGGTGGATGTGTAACTGTTTAGAAAACCATTCCGAGAGAGTAGTAACCAGTGATTCACAGTCAAGTTGCAGGGCACATTGACTGGGGACCTGCAGGAATCTATTCTGGGTTTGGTATTTTTGTCAATGATTTAGATAATGGCATAGAGAGCACATTTATAAAGTATATGGATGATACAAAGCTGGGAGGGATTGCAAATGATTTGAAGGATAGGATTATAATTCAAAATGATCTGGGCAAACCGCAGAAACAATTGAGTAAATTAAATGAAATTCAATAAGGACAAATGCCAAGTACTCCATTTAGGAAGGAACAATCAATTGTGCATATACAAAATGAGAAATGACTGCCTAGGAAAGAGTAATGCAGAAAGGGATCTGGGTATTTTACTGGACCACAAACTAAATATGAGTCGACAGTGTACCACTGTTGCAAAAAAAGCAAACCTTCTGGGATGTATTAACAGGAGTATTGTAAGTAGGACACACAAAGTAATTCTGCTCTACATTGTGCTTATTAGGCCTCAACTGGAGTATTGTGTCCAGTTCTGGGTACCACATTTCAGGAAAGATGTGGAGAAACTGGAGATGGTCCAGAGAAGAGCAACAAAAATGATTAAATATCTAGAATATGATCTAAGAGGGAAGATTGAAAAAAAAAATGTTTGTTCAGTCTGGAGAATAGAAGACTAAGGGGGGACATAATAGTTTTCAAGTACATCAAAGGGTATTATCAGGAAGAGGGAGTAAAAAATATCTCCTTAGCCTCTAAGGGAAGGACAAGAAGCAATGCGCTTAGTTTGCAACAAGGACAGTTTAGAGTGAACATTAGGAAAAACTTCTTAACTGAATAAATTGTCTAGTGAGGTTGTGGAATGACCATCATAGGAGATTTTTAAGAGCAGATTAGATAACACCTGTTAGGCCTGGTCTAAATAATACTTAGCCCTGCCAGTAGTGCCGGATACTTGACTAAATGACCTCTGGAAGTTCCTTCTAGTCCTAGGATTCTGATTAGCCTTGCCCCCAATAATAAGATGACTTGTGACCCTACAGCAGAGAAAAACAATCATTTGGGCAAAGCATTCCCATCATTTTGTGTGCTTAGGCAGAATGATGTATCTGTGCAAACTAGGTCAGTTCATGAAGTCGTGTTCCTCAGCTCATCACTAAATATCAGGGGACAACATCTAAGCATGCCAGCAGACTAAGGTGTTAGTTGGTATTTTCCGGAGAATTTTAGAAATTTAACGACATAGCCCTTCTGTTTGTGAAGAAATCCTTCTCAATGTGGAAGTGATGTAGGCCTACCTTGTAGGGTCTGCAGACAGCTGCGTTCATCTCAAGTGGATGCTAAACTTTGAGGCTTAATGACAAATAAAATGTCATTACTAAATTATCATTTAAATGATACACTTATCTAGCTGGTTTCATTTGAAATCAAATATTACTGAATAAAGTTGGAAATTTTAAAGATGCAAATCCTGAAGGCTGTGTCAAATATTTGATTTTTTTATTCAA